CCAAACCTAGCTACACCCGTTAGCATGTGCTTAGCTAGAAGCAAGCATGTAGTCCCAATCAAGTCAATGGAGTCACATCACAGGAATCAAGAGAAGAATCCAGCCATACTGTGTTCTCTTAAAGACATAAAGTCAAGACCAACAGTCACTACTGCTTGTTCAAACACAACTCGTGTAATTTTAAACATTTTTCACATAGTGACAAGCCCACCTAGTGAGGCAGAAGAGCTTACCCTGTCAAGAGGAAAATGCAGTTAATCCCCAATTAATCTACAATGACAAGTCTACTAGAGTTCAGAATTACATTCTGACTACTCTACCAGAACAAGCTATGTCTGAATCACAAATGAGATCTGAACCCCCTTAAATAGCTCATGATATGCCAAACACCGTACATATCAAGAGCCAATTATATTAATTCCATTCATTGGGTCTCAGGCTATTGCTGTCTGACTCTTCCTTCTTTGTGGTTTCTTAGCAACACAATTTTGCTCTCACTTGCAGGAGATGAAAATGAGTAAACATTTCCACAGACTCTGAAGAACACCAGACCAATTGTTGTGTGATGGTTCTTTCAATATATTTCTAAATTCAGAGGCACAGGAGAGACCAGTGAGAGAGATTTGAACTTAACCACTTTTCTATTTTATTGAAAGTTCAAGTAATGACAATAACCAAAGAACTTTGCAAATAAAAGGGTCAATACAATTCATATAAGCAGTGCAAGACAGATAAACACAGCACACAAATCACAATACAGCTTCAGCTATGATTCATTATAGGCTAACTTATTACTATGCAATATAGTTTTATGTACTATAGATTTTTAAAAAGGTTAGCCTAAAATACCTATGATGCAAAGCAGTTAGTGTAAAACTAGCTATATTACAATATTCAAACCTAATTCACTTACAGTTCACCCTTGATCCCCAACAATCCCCAGAGAGGAAGTCATGGTCTCATTCCTTCCCGCACACTGAGGCGTCTTAGGCTGCATGATGTGGATGAACAGGCCCCAAAACTTATGGTTACATGAACAGAGTTTGGGGGTCCTCTCTGTTCCTCCCTCCCAAAGCATGTGCGTGCAGAAGCATGCTTTATATAAGCAAGACTCGGTAGCTTCTCACCTTGCTGCGACGTGGTGTTCCAGCCATAAGCACTTTTTTATTCCAACACCCTACTCACTTTACTTAACATTATTTGTTCAATCTTTAATTTACATCATTATCCCAAGCTGTTTACCCCTTTTGCAGTTAGCACTTTCGTAAAACACAGGGTGTGCTTGTTGTGTCGCCCCCTATTTCTATAAGCCACGTCATAATAATTCTGGAAATGTTGATTATACTTGTTTATAATGGTATACACTTTAATGATTTCAGCATTTTAAGCAGCTTATTAGTAGACCTCGCCCAATGACCAAGGGCACGAACTTAGCAGTTTCAGCACTTTAAGCAGTTTACAGTCAAGCATTTACTCCATGGCAGAGGGCAAAAGGTTATATTTCCACATACTTGCTCCAGCCTAAGGCCCGCCTGCAAGCTTGCTAGCATCAGACTTAACAGGGCCTTGCTTCTTAGTCAGAACTCACGTCAAGCCAGAGACGACCATGCAGACTCCTCCACACCAATTATTTAGTCACACGGACACATTAGTGCAGGACACTTTCCGGACAAACAAGAAACCTCCGCAAGGACTTTACAATCTAAGGCCCTAATCTAGCAAAAATTCATGCACAAGCTAAACTTTAAAAATGTTTAAGTCTTTTCAGGATCAGGGCCTAAATGATTTCTAACACAATAAACTAAGCAGTGGAAAGGGGCTCAGTGAAGTTTATAGCCATTAAGATATTGTGAGATCTGGTTCTTGTGTGTATCACATGTATAATCTTTTATAAAATACATTAACATTTGAGGGGATGGCTAGAAAGGATCATGATGGCTAGCAACAGAGCTATTGTTTAACTGCTACAAAATAAAATCAGTAAGTGACAGGGGGGAAAAGAGCCAGATTATTTCTGTTTATTACTTTACGTTCTGGATTTGAGGTGTCTGTTATTACTTTTAATTTACCATCTTGTAGCCAGGTTCTCCAAAGCACCAGCTGACAAAAAACAATAGGAATAACAGTGTGTTCATTTTCTGATTAGCTATCCAGTGGTTGCCAACGAGCTGTCATACCAGAATTCCTGGGTTTCCCTCCAGATGCCTTTGCTCTCTACCCTGAAAGCTACATGGCTTTTCTAAGGACTTTGGGTTAAAAAAAAAAAAAAAAAAAAAAAGACTTGAAGCATTTGCCAGAGAACTTTTGCAGAATCAGAGACTCTGGCATCACAACTTGAGACTGAAACACCACAACTGAGAGGGGAGGGAATTTTCCAGGAGTCTGTTTAATGCCCATGGCTTGTTTTTGTTAAACACATTCACCTTGTGAAAGATTCAGCCTTCATTAATGATTTGTATTTCCTCAGTCTAGGAGCCCCAGTCCTGGATCACAATCCCACTCAAAGCAGGCACTGTACTCCCCCAGAATGAAGAGATGGTGCATATCCCTATGGGCTTAAAACATAGCCTTACCCTCTACATCTGAGAGCTCAGAAAGCTTATCTCCCCAATTTTCTAGTCTGCCAAGCGGTTATCAAGCAGCAACTGGAAAGACATGACTTGATGTTTCCATGATAAAGACAATCAAAAGAACTTGTATATAAAGGAGGCTTGACAACTAGCTGATTTACTCAGCATTGTCGGGGTTTGTAATTCAGGAATTCCATCAAGTGTATTTTGTTTCTTCATCCCTATAAATTCTTACCATTTGCTATAAATTCTTACCAAGGGCTATTGTCAATTTGGTTTCTAATAACATTTTCTTCTAGTTTTCAAATCTTAAGCATTTCACAAAAGCTTCTGCCCTAACAAATGTGTTAGTCTTTAAAGTGCCAACAGACTCCTTGTTGGTTTTGCTGAAACAGACTAACCTGGCCACCCCTCAAAAACCTGAATACAAGAAGATACTGAAGTCACTCTCTGAGCTGCTACTAAAGCCACCTTGGTGAAGTCTCTAGCCCAAATGGAAGCACTGTGTACTGAGAGCAGTTGGGATCCATCACAAACCTTCTTTGGGAAGCATGAATGTTCACATACATACATCGTTCACATACAGAGCTGTGAACCATGTGCCCTGGATCTAGGGATGCTAAACTGCGGTTATCTGACTAACCACGTAATGGATACAATTATATCGGACCGCGCTGCAGAGCTGCAGTAGGGGGAGCTCCAGGAGACGCACTGCAGCTCTGCACTTAAATGTAGTAAGAGCTGCCAGGTGCAGCACAGCATCCCGGACCAGCGTGAGCTGGGACTGCTCGGTCCCGGCTCGCACTGAGTCCAGCAGCCCCGGTTCGCAGCAGCCACCGTGGACAGGGGCTGCTGCCAGAGTGCTCTCTGCCCATGGTGAGCCTCAACCCGCTGTGGGCAGAGGTTGCTTTGCAGCAGTCTCCTCTATTCCCCCATGCTGCGGGGGGGAGCAGATGGCACCATGGAGCTGGTGCTGGGGGGACTGGCTTTTAAGCTCCTGTTTCCTCCCCCTCCCCTTGCTGCCTCTCAGGTAACATTCCTACCTGGGTCAGGCCAGTATTACTGAGTCCAGTGTAACCACACAGAATTCTAGCTTGCAAATAAAAATGTAGAATCTTTGCAAGTTAAAAAATTGTTCTCCATTCTCCCTTCTTTTTGGAACTAGGAAATATATTGACTAGAACCCTCTTCCCTGTTGCTGAAGTGGTACTCACTCTATTGCTTCCTACTGGAGGAGAGATTCTACCTTTGCAAGGAGGTCCTCCTTGTGAGAGCGGTCCCTGAAAGGGTCCAGGGAAGAGGGTTTTGTGGAAAGCAAAAAGAGAAGCTTGATGGTACAGCCAGAATGGATGATAGCCAACACCTCTTTGTCTCTTGTTATTGTCCTCTGGATGTGGGGAGGGGCAGTTCTAGGTGACCATCTAAAAAGGTCTGGGGGTCAGTTGGAAGTGGCATCAGCAGTGGTAGGCAATTCCCAAGCACCTTATCAGAAGTAACTTTTGGGCAGGTGGTGAGGTGGGGTGATGTTGATAAAAAGGAAGGTACAGGATGTCGTAAACTTTGCATCATCTTTTTAAAAAGTGGTTCATAAGAGCACAGGCCCGGTTTGTATGACTGCTTATGGTACTGCCTCTTCAGGGCTGTTGTAAATATAGCCAAGGAGCTGAGGGCTGCCCTGGAGTCCTTTAGCAAGTTTCAGACCATTCTCTACCCAGACCAAGTTGACTTGGAAATGCATGGAACACAGAAATTGGGTGCACTCACACCTCATTGGCGACCATGCACAGGAGAACTGGACCAGGTTATAACACTTAGCTTCCCTGTCCTTTGGTGCTAAGAGCAAGGAGTTTATCTGATGTGTAAGCGTGGAGGGAGAAATCACCTTCTCTCTTCATTCCCCAACTTATTTCATAAGCCCTCAGGCAAAGAGGTGAGAAAGCATCAAGAGCTTTGTATGTGATGCAGTGAATTTTAAATGGAAAGTTATCAAATGTTATTGGTCTATGCAATTTGTTTGGTCACTTGTATGGATTCCCAGTTTCACTAGATGCAGCAGATTCCCAGAGCAGGCTTTCTGCAGAGTGACATCTTTTTATTGATGGAAGCACAATAGCATATCCCATTACTTCCTCAGGAAGGATGAATAATCATTAGTTACTCAGTGAATAGTCGTAGCTACTATTTGGCACTCAAATATTTCTTAAAATGCTATTTGCCACTTCCTGGCATATTCCACACAGTGAGAGTGAACTCATGCTGCTCACCTGTCTGCCTAAAGGGTAGGAAAACCCACAGGTACAGTCTAGAAAGGGAAAGTCCAGCACCCCAGAATACATACCCCTTGCAATTTTAAAGGCTACTATTGTAGCAGATTAACAACTGATAAGATGAGGAGGACAAACAAACAAACAAACAAACAAACCTGCTCACCATGCACACAGAAGCCTCATCCCCGATTTTCACTCTGTTCGCAGTCAGCAGTTGCTCCAGCAAGCTGATTCTGTTTAGAAGCCAGGAAAATGCCAGCAGCAGCTCCCTGCTCCCCTGTGAGCCATCGGAAGGGAGCTGATAGAATGCTGGCCTGCCGTACCCATGGTACCATAACACTGACTTTACAAACTTAATTTGGGTGCCTGGAAAGTAGAAAAACAGAAAAACGTGTCTCATTGCACTGCTCATCGTGTTACAGGAATAGCGGCTCCCTGGACGTGCATCATCAACCAAGTTTCGTGTCACACTGACGGTAAGGGAGACTATGTTTTCTGGTTAGGCATGAACAGATACAGTACAGATGGCAAGGCGGCAAGCTTCCCCTCCACTGCCCCTCCCAGACCCGCAGAATCTGCCTCTGTAGAGGGGAACAGGAATTCAGACTCCAGACCCATTCATCCCTTGGCTTCTCAGAGACCAACAAGGTGAATTTGCAACTGGCTTGTGGAGGCTGCCTTTCTTGCTAGCCACTCAACTCAAAACCACCCCCCTTTCAGATGAACCATAATCTGTTTTAATTTAACTTCTGTTCTATAGCCACAAGAAAGGGACACTAGACCCAGCAGCGCCTGGAATCTCTCTCTCTCTCTGGATTGTACTAGATACACTAACAGGTTTCTGCATTTTTGGCAGTGTGCGTGAATATGAACTTTAATGACTTGTCCCACGTTCTGAGGGGCCTTTCCATGCATGCTTTTCAAATAAACTCACTGCATGCTGTGTACTGAATGCCCCAGGTGAAGACAGGGAAAAGGGGAATTCTTCTCACTTCTTTAACTTCCTGAATGCCCACCCATTCTGTGTAATCTCCCTCCTGACCAGCAGCTAGGCAGCCGCGTTTGGGAGCTTACAACCCCTTTTATCACAGTGGATGCAGAACAGGCAAGCAGAGGCCAGATCCGTAGCTAGTGTAAGGCAGCACAGTTCCACTGGAGACAATTTAGACTCGCCAAGGAACTGGAACCATGTGTTTGTACAGGACTTTCTCTCTTCCTCTCATATGCAGCTCAAGTGGACAAGGTGGCAGGTGCTTCAAAGGGATGTAAAATCCCATTTAAAATGTTAACTGTTTAAACTATAAGTGAATCAGGTAAATGGCCAGCCGCATCGCACCACAGGCAGGGGACTGCTCCAGCCTGGCCAGACACCGGTTACCCCAGTAATGCAATGCTCACCAAGTAAGCGGTCACCCCTTTCCATCCCTAGGTGCTGCAACAGGCTCCTGAAGTTACTTAGCATGTTAGACTCTCTTTCCCACTGGAGACGTGCAAGTGTAAATGTGTACACAGTTAACCGATGAACCTGGGCTCATCGCTCAGCGGGAGCAGGTGCATGCAGGGAGCTGGCTTTTAAGCAGTCAGCTCCACACTTACTGACTCCCACATAGATGCCTCCACCTCGCCTTGTGCTGTGTCAGAGGCAGCAGCACAGGGGGGAGTGTAAATGCTGAGTAATTTAGCAGTTACATGTTTACCTAAATAAATGCATTTTAACATCCCTATTGCCCACCAATGCTTCTATCCAGCAGCAATGTAATTTCCAGCTTCCTGGCCAGCTATGCATGATAAAGGGCCATTGGTGCCCTTGCCAACCATGTGTGAGCTGCCATTGCACAGAAGCATTGAGAGATCAGTCATGGTGTTGCATGGCAGTCCCCTTTGAGCTGGCAGAGTTAGCATAGCGCATTGTTTCTGTCTTTGAGAAGGGAGCACTGGCCAGCCAGAGATGTAATAGGTGAATTTCATCTGCCGCCGCTCTCCAGGCAGAGGTAACAGAAAAGGCATCTCATGGAAGCCTGGCAGAGCTACATGCACTACCACAGCAGTTCTCAACCAGGGGGCTAGTGCTCCTTGGTGGGCAATGAAAAAAGATGCTACAGGACCACTTGTTTTTTCAGCTTTTTTTCAAGTTACAGACTAACACAGCTACCCCCCTCTCTGTTTTTTTAGCGTAGCCACCGAAACCTCAAAGTAGAGTCAGCATTAGTCTCACTGGCCAGTTGCTCTACTTTTACCCCCTCATGCCAACCAAAGCTTTGAATCTACTGAAAAAGAGCTGTTGTGGCACAGGTGGGCCATCGCATTTTACAGCATGTTTTGAAGGGACCTCAGAAAGAAAAAGGTTGAAAACCCCTGCATTACCACATACAGACTGGAGACTGGCATAGAATTCAATTACCCACCGACAATACAAGTGGCCAAACTTGGCTTGTTTGAAAACAAGCGGAGTGTGGTGGCTGCATCCCCAGACCAAAGAGCAGTACAGTAGAATCTCAGAGCTAAAAACACATCAGGAATGGAGATTGTACGCAACGCTGAAATTTTGGTTTCCATAGTGAAAATGACACCAAGCTAGGGGAAGACTAGCACCTGGCAGCTTCCTATCTCCCTAAAATAAAGCAGCAGGGTAATGCTCATTCTCCAGAGATTGGAGATCACTTAAGCATTTATAAGCTGGGAAAGGGGGGAGCAGGCACAAAGTGGTAAAGCTGATGGTGGGAGCAATCAGGCTAGACTAAGTCAGCTTCTCGAATGTAAGAGCTCCAGTGAAGCATACAGGCCAGAGATTGAACTGATCTGTTATAGGCCACCTGTCTCACCCTGAACAGGATTGATCTCTACAGCAGCAATGAGCCATAACAGTGACTCCAGAGGTTGGCTGGCAAATCACTTTCCACACAAAGCCAATTTTTACCGCTCCAAACTTCTGAAAAAAGCTCCTGATGTTCAGCCTAAAACTTCCTTGCTCATTTTATTCTTAATGCTCCTACTTGTATGCCCTTGTGCACATGGGAGACGGGGTACAATTACTCTTCCTTCTTGGTGTCAAAACCCTTCAAATAGCTGTAGGTGCACACTGTACCCTTAACAGTCATTGAGCCAAGCAACATCTAGTTTGCTCCTTACCAGATGATGCTTACTGGCTCCAGGCCACAGACAGGGGGCTGCTTCAGCCCCGCAGGGCATGCTGCAGACAGGGGAGCCAGCCTGGTCAAAGCAGCCCCTATCTGCAGTGGGCCCTGGCGTGTCACAGGCAGGGGCTGTTCCAAATGTGTGGAGCAGTGCCCGCCCGTGGCAGAGGTACTACAGGCAGGGGGGGAACGCTCTGGGGGCCACTCCAGCCCAGCCATGCTGGAGCGCTCCCCCACCTGTTCCCATTTAACCAGTTAACCTACTAAATGGGATTTATATCTCTATTCCTAAATTCCACACCTTACACTTCCCCATTGGTCAAATGGGATTAATAGCAGTTCCCCCAACCTCACAGGGATGTTTGCAAAGTTAAATACAGTTAAAAGATTGTCAGCTGCTCAAATACTATGGTAGTGATGGCCGTACGTACCTAAAATACATGACCCATGCCAAAAGTAGAGAGTGATAATCAGTGCAGAATAGAGAGAAAAATGCTCCTTATAGAGCAGATAATGCTGATTACTGCAGTATCGTACCTGGATTTTGGCCAATGCTTTATAGAGGCACTTCTTTAAGCTAAGGGAATTTACACAGAGTGGGTGTGCATCTTTATAATAAACCCCTCTTAGTATGGACATTTCTCTTGAAAAGGAAAATTTAGTGAATACAGGCCAAGCTGTGATACAGCACTCATGCTGTTCCCTTCTGATTTACAATCCCTGCAGAACTTATATCCAATGAATTACAGCTTTGTACAGTATTCAACACGTTATTCAAAGTTTATGCATGCTAGGAAGAAAGAAACATGAGTCAAGACTAGGAATGAAAGTGGATGCATTATTTCATGCACTCAGGCAAAAACCACATGTAGAGATTCCACAAATCAGAGTTATTAAGGAAAATTACTGCTGCAGAAAAACAGTTCTTGTTTGACAAAAGAGAATGAAAGAGAGACAATAACTACAGAGCTCTTTCTGGCGGTATCAAATCTGCTACACCAAAAGATAACTAACATGTCAAAAGGAAAATCCCACTGGCATTTGATTTGCCTTTTATTTATTTTTTAAAGACTTCATCCAGATGGAAAGCTAATGGAAAGAGCAGTATGAAGGCAATGGCTGTGACTTCTTCATTAAAGTTAATGCCAGAGTTCCAATAAAAGGCTGACTTTGACTCACTCTCTGACTTGATGAAGGAAGTACTGTTCTGTTTTTTTTAAATTATTGTGTGTGAATTTTTTCCCCCAGAAGTTCAAGATAAGAAATAACTATATGGAGAAAGGGGAAAAATATTTTCTTCCTTAACAGGAGGACCTGCAGGATTTTCCAGCCACTAAGCACTGGATGTTTTTGTTGGTTTGTGGTTTCGTTTTAGTTTGGGATCTTTTGCACAAGTGTAACAGCTCATGCACTTAAACACACTTTCTGTAATATGCAATACCTTCTAAATTATTTCCCAAAGCTGAAATTATGTACCATTATGGGTGGCACACTCTATTTATTAGAACCATTACCTCATTTTTTTCTATATGAACTATAAAATGACCACTCCATAATTATGACAGTTTGAATCCTCCCCAAAATTCACATACACTGGGAATGTGGCTTGAAAACCATATGCTAGCTCATAAGGGCTATAGTATAAATTTGAGAGTCATTAAAGCAAGAGGATTCCTAAACTAGTCTCTCTCCGAGGTGACCTGTTTTTAAAATGTGGAAAGTCCATCACTATTTTGGAACACATACCGAACACAGAAGCAGGGACAGAACTGCAGGATACTGACATCCTTGGAATGCCTTGTAAGAGCTAGCATCTAGAACAGGGCTGGGGAACCTAAGGCCCGGGGGCTGAATGCGGTCCCTGGCTTTGGCCCCCAAGGCTCACCCCCCCCCCCGAGCACTGGGGAGCCCGCACAGGCACTCCAGGCCCCCTGCTAGCCCACCACAGAGCTGGAGCACACAAACTCTACTATGCTGAGCCTCCCTAGGCTCTGGTGTGTGAAGGAAATGTCTTTCTCCTTCTCAGTCAAGGGCCATGTCAGTGAGGGTTTTGGTTTGTTTTTTGCTTCACATTTTTGTGAGACCCCCAACTTATTTTCCTGTGGGTCAGCGGCCCCCAACCCAAAAAAGGAAAAATGGTTCCCTACCCCTTATCTAGAAGGATAGCCAATTCCAAAACCAACAACAGAAAGTTACTAGAGTTTGTTTAGGTCCTATGAATGGCAAGGACTGCTGAGATCTCTGGTAACGTGTACAGACACCAGCTCAAAACTTAGAGAGAGAGTGATCTCCCAGAAAATACTTTTAGCCTAAAAGAAATAAAATCTCGTCCTACACAGACTGATTTTAATATTCGTGTGCACTTATATCCCTCATACTGACCCAGGCCTGATACTCCTGTGCTAGAGCCAGGAAATTAGCTGTAAAATTGAGAGGGAAAAGAAGGTAACCAAGAAGTTACACAAAGAAGGGAAGGATGACCAGTGGTTAGGGTACTAATCTTGGTTCCTGAGACCCAAGTTCAATTCTGCTACAAACTTCCTGTGTGACAGTGGGCAAGTCACACAGTCTGTGTGCCAGACTGCCATCTGTAATACAGAATGTTGAGAATAAAATACATTCAAGATTAGGAGGCACTGAGACACTGCAATAGTGCAGGCTACATAAGTTCTTAAGACATGTCACTGTCAGGTCAGGTGCTAAAGTCACTCTTGACATGCTGGCAACAAAACAGTCATCTTGAATATGGCAGACCCAACTTTCATTAACATAGCCATGCGATAAATGTGCTTATCTGTATGCTTGGCTATCCAGCCTGTACCACTACTTTAACCACTAAACCAGTCTGCCTGAAATCAAACCAGAAATAGAATGCAGGAATTCTAAATCCACAAAATTATACTGTTATCTAGCAAAAACTGTGCAACTCCCTTAGCAAAGTATGTGTCAATTTTCTGGTTAGAAGTCCATCATGTGCAAGTGAAGATGCCAAGTACAGACTGCTCCCACATTGGTTGTTGGCAATCAGAGTTCCACATGATGGCATTTCTGGTTTCCCAATGTAATATTTAAAAAGTCCAATCAGTCTATACATGTATAGATTTGAGGCCAAACTACATGCTTAGCAATGCTTTCCACATGCTGATCCTGGTGAAGTTACAAAAGACACAGCTGACTTGCCTTAACGCATAGTTGCATGGGATGGAACTTCAGCGTAGGAATAAAAACAGGATCCCATGGTTAAGGCTGTGGACTGGGAAACCAACGTTGAATTCTTGGCTTGGGCATGGACTTCCTGAGAGATCTTGGCCAAGCCATTTAATCACTTAGCCTACGGTTGTGGAAACTGAAGCAATTTTGGATTTCGGAAGCCTGACAAGCACAGTTTCACTCATGCAGATTTCAGGAGCCAACTTCAGATGGTTTGGACCTCAGAAACATTCTAAGGCTGTGGGAGGATACCATATTCACACCGTCCCTGCTCTAGTGAATGGACCACACAGCAGCAGGGCACTGGGGGTATCTGTGGAAGGCATAGCCCTGAGACTAGCACTATGTTTGGAGTAATGTATATTTAAATAGCCGGCAGTGATTAAGCTCTCTCCCTTGACAAGATGGTAGAAAAGTCAATCTGTACTCAGGCTCTCTCTGCGACACAGTTCCCGATTATAGATGTATTTTACACTCTTTTACAAGGACATAACACATGGAGTCCTTCTTTACTCCTTGGCGCCACAACACGGGGTGTATGTACAGCTTTGAGGCACAGCTCATCCATTATAACCTGCAGCCCTAAGGTAGGATTTAATGGCAGTTAACTCCAGTGTCAAGTGTCATGTTTGCAAGGAGAAAAGAAGAGATTAGAGAGGAAGTAAACTGATTTTCTGCAATTATCTCTGAGCATTCTGGGGAACTTGCAAAAGCAGTGCAGTGTGTAAATGCAACTGCAGTGACATGTCAGGTAAAACGCACCAAACAAGCAAGAGCCTACCACTGATGAGAGAATACACAGCTTGGTTGACTGAAACCTCATTAGCAGGCTCGACAATTAGGGTTATCTACTCGCCCGTGGCTCTGGAGATACTGAAGAGCAGGTTAGATAGACATCTATCAGGGATGGTCTAGATGCTACTGAGTCCTGCCACGAGGGCAGGGGACTGGACTTGACTTCTCAAGGCCCCTTTCAGGTCTAGTGTTCTATGATTCAATGAAAACAAATTCAGAATGAATCATCAGGTTCTGACTCGCAACTTCTTCTGCACATCTGTGATGCAAGGATTGGGATCAATGGGATCAATTGGGATCAATGTCATTCCCAGAATCAGAGACAAACCTCACAAGCACTTGGTGGAAAAATACTTGTTTACCTATTGTATCAGACTCAGTCCTTCCTCTGTCATGGCTTTGCTTTAGAAGAGAATAAAGCAGCCTCCACATCTGCAGGCTCTGTGAAAGAACAGAAAGGAAACATCAGCATTCAGAAGAGTTGCCAGGTATCTATCTTTCATTATTCAGCACTGGCCACTGCCTGGAACAACAGCAAGAAAAGAGAAGAAAGAGTAGACAGGTACATGTGTAGCCCTTTGCTTCCAGAAGAACAGCAATAGCATGGAAATTGTGCATTCAGCATAGGAAAGCATTACAGGGTTGTGGATTGCCTGGACCAGGTGGTCACCTCTCCCCCACAACAGCTTTGCTTCTGAAAAGGCCCAGACACCTAGAGCACACTTGACACTTACTCTTGTACCAGTTCATTCTGGGATGCCTGGAACACATGTCCTATAATGCCGCAGGAGCAGAGGCTCCAGGGTAATCTCTAAACACTGAGGACCTGAATCACGAGAACTAGCTCAACCAACGTAATTAGAAGCTAGGACAGCATGGTTGCAGACTATGGCAATTTAAGGCAAGCCCTCCTACTAGGAATTGCAACCAACATTTGTACAATGGCTAGGCAAATACAAAACATCTTATAAACAGAGGTAGATCAAGGCCTTCTCGCCAATGGAGTTTCCAAAGCCCTAGCACAGAGAGGGCCTATGACCATTCAGGATAAAGAGAGGGCAATAAACTCTGAGTGACAAGAGAATTGTGTTGCATGCCAGAGGGAAATATCAAGCTTCAATTTGGGTGGGGGGAGTGGAAATAGAATTTCCAGGAAATTCTCCAAGAACAAGAACTTTTCAGAGCTTCTGAAGAAGATGCTAAGCAAGAGAAGACATGGAAATAAACAGTTCTACTGAAAAGAAAGGAAGGGCAGCATGGAGACAAGGGAGACTATTTTACTCTTTAATGCAGAAGATGATTTCCCTCTAACGTAAGCAGAAATTGATCATGCGTATCTGGATGACTGGGCTTTATGGGCAAATGGGGGAAGAAAGCTAGTGACATTACAGGGATGGCTGATGTACCATGACAAAAGGGTCTCAGGTGAGGTATGAGTGCCTTTGAGGTGGGAGATGAGGACGTGAAATTAGAGTCAAAGCTTCAAGGGGAAAGTGTATGCTCTCCTACATTTGAAAGCTAAATAAAAGGTTGGTAGGATGAGAATTGAGAGCACCAGAACTATTCCAGAATAACATATGTGTGAGATTCTGAATACAGAATAAGGGTGTCCACACATCGAGCTATTCAACAGTTATTCTAGATAACTCCACATGTAGACAAACTCTTAAGAGGTGATATTACAGCAGAGGAGTGCCAAGGCTACCAGCTGGTGAAGAACACCATGAAGCACTATGGGGCACAGATAAGGAGATACACCGAGTTGTACAGATTAGCTACAATGTAGATAAATCTATGTATTAAATATATTACTTCATATGGACTTGACCTTCACATATGGAGAGAGATTAAAAAGACTTTGTTCAGCTTAGCAAAGAGGAGACTAAGGGGGGATACAATAAAGGTCTATAAAATCAGGAGTGGTGTGGAGAAAGTGACTAAGGAAAAGTTCTTTACTTATTCCCACAATGTAAGAACTAGGGGTCACCCAATGAAGTGAATAGGCAGCAGATTTAAAACAAACAAAAGGAAATTTTCTTCACTTAGTGCACAGTCAACCTGTGGAACTCCTCGCCAGAGGATGTGGGGAAGACCAGGACTTTAACAGGGTTCAAAAAAGAGCTAGATAGATCCATGGAGATTAGGTCTATCAATGGCTGTTAGCCAGGATGGGTAGGGAGGGGTCCCTGGCCTCTGTTTGTCAGAGGCCGGTGTGGATAAATCCCTGTGATATTCGACTTTGTATTAAGATCTTGTCCTTTTCCATCTATCTCTGTTAAGTGTCTTATAGAATCTCTGGAACCTTTCTCCTGGAACTTTGTATGAAGAGATCTAGATCTTGTCTTTTGAGCTCTCCCCTTTCCTTGATTGCCCTGTTGAAATGAACGAGGTGTGAATGGAGAATGAAAGGGGAGCCCCTCCAGCAGCAGTCACAAGGGTGGAGAGAGTCTGGGCGTCAGACCCAAGACAATCCCTGCAAAGTGAGCTCATTAAGAGGACAGACGCCTTGGGAGTCAAGCAGCAAGTGCTGCCCTTGGAAGGACTCTCTCTGGAGCAGCATGAGGAAAGGCCAGGTGATGACTAATTGGCTGCATGAGAGGGATAAATTGGAGGCGTCTTGCAAAGGGACCCCGGGTTTTCGTCTTGGCAACATGGGAGCATCGATCCAGATCGGCAGAAACCCGGTTCCACCCCTCCCCCATCTAACTCGCCTGGCCAGTGAAGTTAAGGGGAGCAACTCGTTGGTAACAACAGCAAGACGGAGTGTGCGTGCGTGTGTGCGTGTGTGTGTGTGTGTGTGTGTGTGTATGAGTGACATATATATCATATGCATATGATAAGTGTTGATTATTCTATGTGTGATCAATAAATGTGGCATGTTGCCTTATCCCCCTGAAAAAGATCCCGAGTACTTCTTTTAAGTACAACAATATGACCAATGTGAAGGCATTAATGAGAACTAGAGAGTACCATTGAATATTCATACAGCATTGCCCCACCCACACACCTGAGTGTTTTATACTTCTCACCCAGTGTTACTATCCCTCCTTTACAGCAGGCAGAACTGAAGCACAGACCTTGTCATTCCTGGGGATTTGTTTCAACACCAGTCATTGGTATAGCTGCCAGCTGTAGACACTACTACAACCAAAGCTACAGAATTTGCACCATGACCTGGTTATACATAGAGCTGAGTTGCAAACTGTGCTTATATCAGCTAGCTTATATCACCATGGACTTGTACTTGGGGCAGCTATGCTGAGAGCAGGAATACCCAGTATGAAGAAGACCTCAGAGCACAGGAGGTGGTGGTCTTAGAGAAGAGATAGCATTACAAGGTTAAAGGGAGAAGTGGACATTAATGTTATGGGAGGAGGGTTCTGTGGTGTAGTTGAAGCAGAGGGTACTATGGCTCAGTAAGGGAGGATGTTCCTATGGGGCAGGGAGCACCGAGATTGATTAAGGTGCAGAGAGAAGACATTGCCATGGGGTGTTGGTGTTGCCATGTGACATGAAGGAGTTTCTATGGGCTGTGAGGAAACAATGGGGGGCACTGCTATGGAGCAGAGTGGGACGTTGCTGGGGGGCAATGGGAGGCATTGCTAGCACGCAGGGAAGAGTAATGGGGGCATTGCTAGGGGCAGGGCAATGCTAGACAGCAGGGGGCAATGGGGCCATTGTTAGAAGACAACAGGGACATTGCTGTGGGGCAGGGAGAGGTACTGGGGACACTGCTGGGGGTGTTGGGGGGCACTGCTATGGAGCAGAGTGGGACGTTGCTGGGGGGCAATGGGAGGCATTGCTAGCACGCAGGGAAGAGTAATGGGGGCATTGCTAGGGGCAGGGCAATGCTAGACAGCAGGGGGCAATGGGGCCATTGTTAGAAGACAACAGGGACATTGCTGTGGGGCAGGGAGAGGTACTGGGGACACTGCTGGGGGTGTTGGGGCATTGCTAGGGGGTGGAGGTATGGGGGGTGGTGCTAG